AAAAAAAAAAAGGAATCAAAACTCTGGTAGGTCCTCAATTTTCTGTGAATGAAAAGTTGAAAACTGAAGTTTGTTCCATCACTATTTCGGCCCCTTATAAATTAGATCCAGAAATCATTCACAGAATGGTTAAATTACATAAATTAAGAACACACAAACAATATAATCAAAACAAGAATTTTCGAGTAGAGGAAAACCCTGAAATATTAAAGGAGTAATGAGGGACGACTTATGACATCGAAGAGAAAACCTGAGAAGCTGAGATGGAGAGCTGAGTAGAAGGCGACTGGCTGCGGTAGGTTGAGTAGTGTTGTAGAGAAATATATGTGGAAATAGCTATTATTTTGAAAGAATAAATTTTACACTTCTAAACTTAGTTTTTAAACCGGCCCGACCGCGCAGGTCTCCGGGTAATCAGGTCACCAGTTCAACAGTAGGTCACTGAGTCAATTGTTGAATCGGATATTAATTTTAAAATTTTTAAATTATATTAAGAGTACTTTTGTCATATAAATATATATAGAAATAACAAAATTAAATATTTTATGTACAAAATTTATACATTAAAGTGTTAATAATATGTATCTCATGATAATATTTATCATATAAACATATATACATAGTTTTATTTTGAAAAAAAAAATTAAAAATATATGGGTCGGGTTAATCGGCCGGTTGACCCGGCCGGGTCAATGCACCGTCAAGGCCGGGTTGGCAGGGTTTTGACTGGGTCCTTTGTTGCCCGGTCCAAATAGCCCACCCAGACCGGTTCCGGCTTCGGGTCGACCGGGTCTCGGGTCGACCCGTTGGACTGGTCTGGGTAAAAAAACTATACTTCTAAATAATAAATTGGTTTTTTCACCTTACAAAGAGCAAGACAAACTACTATGCGAGAAAGTGGTGAAGATAATCAATTAAGTGCGAAAAATTATGCAATTCAATAAGTGAAAAACAATCAAGATAATTAATAAAGTGCAAAACAAATAATGTAATAAACAATGCGACGGATAGATGAAGATAACTCTAATAAAGTGCGAAACAGAATATGCGACAGTATAAGTAAAAAATATTTATGCGACAACTACTAAAGACTAGATAAGATAATTGATAAAATGCGAAATATTTATGCGGTAACAATGCGAAAGACTAAAGAAGATAACTGATAAGTGTGAATATTTATGCGACAACAATGCGAGAAAGAAAGAGAGGATAAGATAACTGGTAAAGTGCAAAATATTTATGCGATAAACTAAGTGAAAGACATGTCAAGATAATTGATAAAGTGTGACATAATTATGTGATCTGATATGCGACAGACAGTCGAAAAAATTGATAAAGTGTGAAAAAAAAAAGTATGAGATAGACAATGCCACAGACAACCGAAAAAAATAGATAAAGTACGAAACAGATTATACGATAAACTATACGACAGACAAACAAATATAATTGATAAAGTGCAAAATATTTGTGCAAAAATTATGTGAGGGAGACGACGAAATTTGATAAAAGGTGAAATACTTGTGCGATAAACTACGTGACAGACAGGTCAAGATAATCGATAAAAGTGTGATTTCTATATGCGCCAAACACATCAAGATAATTGATGAAGTACGAAAGAAAATATGTATAACGCCCCACTTTTATTTGACGAAAATCAGTATAAAATTTTCAAATTTTATATCATAAACTATGGTGGCGCTACTAATTTGAAAAACAATTTTCAAATGCAACTCCCAAACGAGTTCAATAATCATGTCAACACCCAAACCAGGTTCATCAATAACTTCAACTCCCAAACTGGGTTCACCAATATCATAATAACTAGGGAGTACACTCCCTTTCATAAATGATAATAGGCAGTTTAAAAAGCGGAAGCAAAATGAATAATATGACTACCACTCGCGTCCCTCCGCCGTGCCCGCAAATACTACCCTACATTCATGAAGAGCAGGTGGGGGTGAACACAATTGGAAACCGTGGTGCTCACTGTTTTTCCCATTTTTGTTGCGTTTTTCGTGGTTATTTTCATTTCTTTTTCCCCCCATATTAGGTCGTTTAGATAGTTTTCAGTTCGTTTTTATAGTTTATTATGCGTCTCGTTCTATTTCGGTTTTCTTTGTGTTTTCCGTATATTTTTTTGGTTTTTCTTTGTTTATGGTGTGCAGGTCGAATTCGAGAGGATTTATTTTTCACAATAAATAGACCGGGAGGATATCATTAAACAGAGCATTTCGTTGGCATTAAGCAGAAGAAAACGAAACTTAATTCCGTGTTGAAATGAGTTCAAACGGGCCCGAGACGGAAGACATGCACGGAAGCAAGCAGCTCACAGACCGTCGCGTGCACACAGCGCCGCGACAAGCGCCACGAGACCGACTAAGACCCTGCTCCACGCCCCGCGCCGCTACACCTCCCACGCCGCGACAGGAGCTCCCATCACGCTGCTGCACTTCATCGCGGCGCGGCACAGACGCTCCCATCACGCCGCTGCACTTCATCGCGGCGCGGCACAGGCATCTATCACTTCGCTGCAACTCCTCGCAGCGCGGCAACCTGGCAGCTTCGCGCCGCGCCACTCTCTTTCACGTTGTGGAGCTGTGCTACCTATAAATACGTGAACGATACCTCGACAGAAAATAACTCTCGACCGGGGCTTAAAAGACCCTAGGTCCCGAGAGAACGAGAAACACCACGAACTCTTTCTTTCTTCCTCTCTTCTTCTTCTCTATCCTTCTTCTTCTTTTTATCTTTCTTTTCCATTTTTTCTCCTTTTTATTTGGATTAAGCTTGTATTACGAATTCGACTTTGGACCTTGACATTAATCGTAAGATTCTTTTCTCTCTTATTTAATTCATGAATAATGATTAAACTTGGAGAATTGATTTATTGTGTTGAATTCAATATGCTTAGCCAATTCCGATTGCTAGGGATAGGGAATGATTGTTTTTGTTTAACGTATCTGTCGGGCCTAATGTGTTCATGCTTATGCGAGTTGAATTTATTCGAATTGATAGAATCTTGTTTGATTGATTGATATAATGGAAGAGTGACACTTCGATCTTGCAATTAGAAATAATTGAATATTGATTAGTCGAGTTAGGGTTTTGTTGATTCGATATGATTAGTTGATTAATTCTCTTCTAATTTAATTAGCGACTTTAGAACCGGAAGGGGAGAAGTCGTAGAACCAGGCTCGCATGAGGTAGATAATTTCGTAGCTGAATAATTTATGTGTTTTGATTGAAAGCGTGCTTGTCGATGACCCGTCCCTTGTTACAAAAAGTTAATGGGATTGGGATAATTGGCCTGTATTGTATGCTCGAACTTGCTCGTCTATGTTCAATCCCTTGTTACGAAGAGTTATTGGGAGAGAACCGCTAGATGTGTAAGCGAGAGTGTCAATCTCAAACCGAACAATTGATTGCCCGACTTTGCTAGAACTTGAATTAATTAATCCCGATTCCCTAGCTTCTCATCTTTGTTGCGTTCTTATTTTTAGGTAGATTTATATTTTTTCTTAGTTCGTTATTTCTTAGCTGATAATTCATCCAATCCTTATCTGATTAGTATGTTTAGGATTTATTTTGCTTTTATGTGTGATCGATATTAAAGCTGAATTCCCGAATAGTCTTCCTCGTGAGATCGACCCGGGGATCGAATCTTTTGATTCGGTACTCGGTAAAAAGAATAATTTTTACCCAACAATTTTGGCGCCGTTGACAGGGAAGGCAAGTAGGATATTTGGTTTTGGTATTGATTTTATTTTCCGTGTTTCTCTTATTTTCGTGATTTTCGTATTTTTGTTCTCTCTTTTGTGCATATTTGTTTTTCTTTTTGTGTTTCTTGTTTCTGTCTTCGTTTCCTTTTCTCTTCGTGGCTACGCGTGGTTGTTCTACTTTGGTGTGCAGGTAGTATGAGCTACAACTGTGTTTACCCCTTACCGCACACCCAACCTTGGGTTAACGAGCAGAGCTACCACACCGGGTACCACGTCCAGTCTTATCCCTACTCCTCCGAGCAGTACTGGGATCCCTTCCCGGTCGAGCAACACTATGAGTCCCACGAGTTCAACAAGAAGCTCAACCGTATCTACGAATTTGCAACATCCCGGTTAGCGCAGGAAGAAGAAACCGCAGGCCAGTGTGCCCAATCACCTCCTTACCATGATTCTTAGGACTTCGGCCAGACTTTATCATATTCCTACGAGCAGCAGTGGGATTACGGGCCTGTCGAGCAGTCATATAAGTCTCTCGAGGATTCCTCATAGTACAATGCCAAGCTCGACCAGGTCCTCACTCTTTTGGCATTCCAAGCGGCTCGTAGGAGCAACCTTGAGTCCAGAATCGAGGAACTTGTGGAGCGCGTGCAAGCCTTAGAGGATCGAGTCACCAATGTTATTCTCGAGCCCACCGCTCAAAGCGAACCTACACATAGGGACGAGCCTCGAGAGGCTGCTTTGTCGTTCGATGAGAAGCTCGACCTCATCCTTGCTCGCATATCTGCCCAGTCCACTTGAGATGTGGAGATTGAGCTCAGGTGTGCTCCACTGAGCACACAAATGGAGATTCTTGCAGCACATACCAGCTCACCGAGGTAGAAGTCGACGACTCCCACCTCATGCTTGATACGCAAGCCCGCACGATGAAGCAAATGTGTGAGGCCGAAGAAGATGATAATGAGCTTGATGATATTTCAGAAGAAGAGACCCATGGGCTTGATTCTCAAGTCCCTCCTCCTACCTCCGAGTTGGAGCATTCTTCTTTGAGGCCGTTGCACTGTATTACAAAGTGGGAAGGTTTCAGTTCGACTTGCTCCACCGATGCACTTATATTTTCAGAGGTTGACGATAGAGCTCGAGTGGGAAAAGCTCTGCGTCTAGAGTTGGGAATTGCTCGTGCTCGAACCCACTTCATCC